CATGAAACTGTTTCAAGCAACAAAAATGGAGAACAGCTCTTGGAACTTCTACGAAAATTGATTTCCAGTAATTGAGTTTGGTTATTGTTAGCAGACATGAACMAATGAAGCAAAGCTCATGTCTGAATATTCACACCAACAGAAGCCATAGACCACATTCTTGCCAAATATTCAGTAGAACAGTGGTCTGCCAGGTAACTTTGTTAATGAATCTTCATGAAAGACAAACTACTTGAATCAGTCATCTGAAAGTAAAACTATCCTTAGTCCTGAAAGCAATTCAACTTGGAGCAAAACCTTAAATCACTGGTATAAGTGTTACAAAATGTGAGCTTTTAAGGTAATTGGGTATTTTACCCAATTATTTTATGGTAAACCTTTCAGAAACAGTCGCTGGAMMATACAGATGATCATGAATTGTTTATTTAGCAAATGATTCATGAAAAAAAGATGACWGCAGAGCTGGAATTCTGCACACACTGTGCATGTGCAACTCCATACTTCAAAATAAACTGAAGCCCATTAAAAAGAGCATAAGGTCTTATCAAAGAYTAAACAAGCCACCAACCAAGTCAGCTCTCGCCAGCCTGTTTTGAAGCTTTAGATCAAATGTGTGCCAGTCCCCTATGKGCTGCTGACTCACCGGCAGGAGCGTCAAGGCAATGCCTGCCCACAAGCTCACAATGCTCTTTGTTGTCCTTGTCCTTCTGAACTCTATCGGCACTGTGTGGCGCAGTAACTCTGAGCCGAGATAACTGGAAGGTAACTCAGGGGTATCAGATTTTGCTTTGGTGAGTACCTTATCAGTAGGYTCTCCCAGTCTACAYTGACTGATCCATGGTTTTGCATGTATCATGTCACTGATCTGCCCCACACTCACAGTGACAAAAAAAAAGTGGTGTAAAACAGGCAAGGGGTAAGAAAAAGYAAGGCAGGGTTAGAGAACAGCCATTTTAGTAAAGTCGGCGTTGCCTCAAAGAAAAATGAAGCCACAATTACCAGTACATACCTAAAAGATTATCTGAAATTTAGGGGATGACAATTAATTAATCACAGCCTTCAGGAGAAAAAGAAAAGAAACGTGCTCTTACCTCRCCTCTAAGGTTACCTCTTATCTGATGTCTTTAAGAACACGTTGGATGAGCATGTCAAGAATATTTTTCACCCTATCCTGAAGTGTCCCAGTTTGGCCAACATTTCCATGAACAATTCAGCAGTTAATTGGTACTACTCCRTGAGACTGCTGGCCCATGTGGTTTCGCATATGCACAGATAATCTGCAATATGTCACAGCACAGTTGTATCCTTGTTAAGGTCATTTAATTTGAAGCTCTGTTGTAGAGCATTTGGGAGCTTTGTCCTTCAACTCATGTCATAAAATTACAATAAATGTGCTAATAAAAAACAGCCATCCTGGTAATTCTGTCTTTTCACATGGAAATTTATGCAAAAATCTAGTTCCAGACCATGAGATTAGGTATCAATTGAGCCAATACAACAGAACTAGGGCACTTTTTCCTGGATTTGACTATCTTATATTGGTAAAAAACTTACAGTATGCAACAGAAATTTTCTGCTTCAAGAAATTGCATTTTTTTTTTTTAAATTACAATTTATTTTTTTTTATCCCAGCTACCATGATAGACATGGTTAACAAATCACATTAGACAGTAATACATGTGGTTGAAATATGTGGCAGTGTTTTGCTTTTATTTCAGGAATTACAATGCTAGAACATCCAGGAAAACAGCTCACACAACAGCTCACACAGTCAGCGGTTTGGAGATGCAGGAACCAACACATCACATTTAACAGTCAGCTTCCTATGCTTGGAAAGAATTCTGGTGTTTTAGATGCAACCAGATCATGACAAAAAAGTTACCTACATCTCATCTGCAAAACTTCAGTTACACCACAAGAACAATTATGAAATCATAAAGAATTGTTCATTCAGCAGAAGAGACATCATGATCACCAAAATAAGCCAGGCAGGTAATTCAAATCAAAGTAAATACAACTTCAGCTTAAAGATGCTTTCCAATAATTCAAATTTCACTTCCTAAAGGGAAGCATTTTCTGAAAATCTATATTAAAATGAAGATGATAATTCCAATTTTAAATTCATATAATGCTGAACTGTAAACCATAGAAAAATATTACTTCTGTTGCCTTATTTCAGTAACTTGTAAACAAGTATTCTCTGTACATATKGCAATGAAAAAACCTTACATCAGTATAGTTTGAAAAATTGAAGTGCATCCTAAAAATGCATTGTTATTGATTTATAAGCCAGACAATTTTATTATTATATGGAGATAATTCTCTTTCATACTCAAAAACATTCAGGACTACCGTTTTAAGAATGATTTGGGGGAAAAAAAAAGAGACAACAGCTATTAAAGGCTAAGGTTTGTCAATAACGCTCTTGCTATTACAGAAATACCMCAGGTTTTCTCCTACTTACTATTATTTTTAAATGCTCTTTTTTTTAGCTGAGACTGTTTTGTTGTTTTTATAATCCAGAAACAACACCATTTCTATTATGAACACATCGCAGGGGGAAGCTGACAGCTTTTTTAATTGAAAAAACCAACCCTGAGGCATGAAATTTCTATTCCGTTGGTCACAACATTGAGAAGCATTAAGAGAAACCAGTAAGATACTGGTACATTGTTTCACAGTTTCTGAATTTTCAGCTAAATAGAGAGATTGATGAGGTATGCACAAGCAGACATTAGGATTTACATACAGAAATGCCTGGAAATACACACCACAGAAAAGAGGGGCTGATCTCATGCAAATAACTCCATGRAATTCCATAGGTCTTTCCCAATCTTGCACCAGTAAAACAAATCAGTTAAGCTGTTGGATTGTCTTGCTGCTATTAAAGCCTTCTAACACATGGGTCTAGAGAATAAAGTCATGCTGAATTACAAGAAGCTATGTTGGCTTCCCCCATCCCACCCCAAACAGTTTCATGGAAGTAAAAGGCTACATAATCAGTAAACACAACCTGCTACCTTCCCCCTTCTTTGTCCCAGTTGTGTCCTAAAAAAAATCAAGAGYTAAGTTTGTATTAAATTTATTACACGATGATATTTTGCTTTCAGGTGTTCTCCCCTCTCCTTAGCCTTTCCTGCTTTCAAGATGCATCTTCAAGCTCCTAATACTCCAGTAAAGACTTTTAACTAATGTTAGTTATCTTAAACAGCATAACACCTTCACCTCCATGCATCGTGTAAGGACAGTTACTTTGATCCTTTCAGTCTTTTGTTTTTTCTAATTATTTAGGGAATTCATATTAGATAATATCTAGTCATTATTATGTTCTTGTATTTCTAGCCAAAAGGGACAGGTTTGTAGTAGAAAAATATCATCTTGAGCCTATCGGGGGGAAAACAACCAATCAACCAACAAAACAACCAACCAACCAAAAAAAAAGCAAACCCCAAACCCAACAGAAYTTAGGTCAAAACCAATTCAATAGTACTATTCTGCACTTAAGAAAAACTTGAGAAATTAAACTAAGTAAAATTTCCTAAAAACAAACAAGTTCTCACTTTTTTACATGGAGTTACTTTGTCCAAAGAAGCAGACATGAAAATAATCACTTTTTAGGAACAATTTCCTTTTCTCTTCATCTAGCCTTCTTTCTTCACAAATCCCTGYAGAATATGTGTTAAGCCTCAACCCTCCAAAATGAAGTTGATTTTTTTTTAAGTGAAGATTAATCTCCATCTCCAATGCTCAAAGAAAACTTGAAATACATGATAAATAGACTTTCCATCTTTTTTTAAAATTTGTTAAAGCAAATTCCTCTATTTTCTTCATAAAATTTACTCTATTTGTGGCCATTGTATTCTTCCCCAAATTTCAAGTTAGTCTACAAAGACATTAAATCCAGACTGTCAACCTGTGTGTCAGGTGTTTATACAGACATACAGGTGTTTTTCACCTTTGCCTCAGAGCAGCAAGCCTAAGATCTTTAAAATTCAAACCCCTTAATCAGAGAAACTATGATTTCTCCAACCATGTACATATGTGTAAAACACTTCTGTTACTTCCCCATTTTTCCATTCCCAKCTTTAAAATTTAGAGTCCTTCTATTGCTGTGGTACAAAATAAAGAGGGTCAGGTCAGACTGCCAGCTCATTGTCTCACACATAATTGCTCTAGCCAACACCCTTACTTCAAATATTTCTGTCAAGCCTCCCTTCACTATTACATCAGACCATCTTCCAGTAATTCATTCAAACTCTCTGTGCCAATTTCTCCCTTTGTATTCTCTAAAACAGTAATTTTGCTGTCTTGTGTGCTGTTTTAGACTGGAGGGAAAATACACTGAAAACAMAGGAAAACAGTCTCATTTCTCATTTCTGTGGCACAGTAGCCAAGAGGAACAATTTCAGAGAGACACCAGATGAGCCCCAGTAGAGTACTGCAACATACTGGTTCTCCATTTTTCTCAAATTCTAATCCATTAAAACATTTGTCTTTAGAGACCAAATACAGTGAATTAAAACCTGATGATAGTCTTGAATATCAAATATATCTTGTGAGTTTCYCAGATGCAGCTGAAGTTTCTTCCAGTGGGTCTGCTGATCACAAACAGAGATCTTTCTGAGATGGGAGGCTAWTCATTTGCTTTGTGTGTACAATATATGTGTGGTCTGGTTAGTGCCCCAGAAATTTGAAAGGAAAAAACTGCATGCACAGTTGAGACAGATCTTCAGAATACAGAACAAAATATTCAACTAAGGTCATGTCTCCAACTCCAAGGGCATTTCAAGTACCCAACTCAAATTTTGAAAACAGAAGAGGCTTTCAATAAAATGTCCTCTTTAAATTGACTCTCATACCCAGATTAATAGTTTTACTGGAAATTTTACAAAATAAGACATCTGACCTACTCTGAGTCCAGAAGAACGGCAAGCAGCTTTTGTTAGTTTTGCTAATGAACATCACGTAAACATAACAAACTTCAATACCAGCTCCACATCTGTGTTAAGAAACCATTAAAGGCATGTTTTAATGTTTCTGTTTCAAAAAGCTATAAGAAAAAAATATTTACATAATTGAATTCAATACTTAATGCTACTTTGCCCTTCCCCCAGTGGCAGTGATCGCTGTCAACCCTAGAACATCATTTATTACAATATAAGCAGAGAGCAGGTTAGAAAGAAGAGTCCATGCTTTTTTTTTTAACCCCTTACAAAACTGTAACATCCTACATAGAGTTTAAACCAACTTCATTTACAGAAAATAAAATAAAAAGGTGTCCCCACAGGTAAAAAGAAGTTCTTCTAGTAAAGACAACGAAATTTTCAAAATACAGTTATAAAATTTCAGCATAGGTCTACTTGCATGGCTCATGTCAAGAAACTGTATGGAGAGGAGGTGTAAGATGTGTAGAAAAGAGAAGAATGGATACTACAGATGGTTACAGGATGAAGATAAATGTTAAAAGTTTTCTTTATACAGAAATACAGAGAGAGATTCTACAGAGCCAGATAGTAAAGAGCAWTTCCTAATAGCAGGCCACAGTGCACTGAATTCCTTTTTTTTTTCTTAGCAGTTTCTTGAGAGATACATTAGGTAATAGCACTGCCATGCTGCTGGATAATACCAGAATGATTAAATTTGTCAGTACAGCAATTTTACAGTTAAGAAAACTGCTAATAAAGATCCTAATCAACAAGAAGTTTTACCAGGAGCATACAAAGTCAAGTTACATTGACATCATAGATATTATCTCTGTGCTTTAAAATCCTTTTAGTTTTCTAGATTCATTCCACTGGGAAAAAAAATAATCAAGATAAATCAAATACATACAGAAACACACTCACTCAAATGGCACTCATTGCTTTTTGTACAATTAAGCTTTAGTGAAAATATACATCTTAAAACAAATGAAGTACAAATGTACAAAAATCCTTGAACTCAGATAAAAAATATATATAATACAATTTGCTACAGAGATATAAAACATTTAACGTTTGCTCATTCTTTTCGATGAGCATAAAATGATTTAAAGTCTGGAGGACTCCTGCTCATCATCACTGCAATCAGATTTAAAGCAGACCTGCAAGAGAAGACAAACAGACAGCTCAGCTGCAGAACYGATACTACTGTTTTTTTGTGTGTTTTATGGGGCACAAGAAGGCTGGAGGGTGGGTCTTTTTCCAAGTACATTTTACTCCATCCTAACTAAATGCTTTRGGAAAAATCAAAGGAAGCCATAATCTCAACACCAAATCTCCAATCATTAAAATTTAATTTAACACTAAATTCTTTCCTTCTTTTAACTTCACAAGACAATTAACTGCAGTCCTATTAGTTCAAAACTCTCAAACCATAATTATTTTTTTAGGACTTCTTCTCAATATATAGAATTGTATCTTGGGACGGTATGAATCCTGAAGATTTTTGGCTGGAAAAGACTACAGAAAGACAAAAGMTTTAACTTTAGCTATGTGAAATAATTAGTACACTCAACCTTCACTTCTATTCCATTACTCTAAGTGGGGGAAAAGTGAATTTGAAAAGGTGAACTAAAAATGACAGCACCATTATACATTCCATTAGCATTGTACCATTTTAGAAAGGTGAATTGCCAGCCGAAGACAAAAAATCTCTTCATGCAATTTTAATACATGGCCCTGCTGTGGCTACTTACCGATATGCTCCTAGCTATTTCAAAATTCCATTTCTGCTTGAAAGCAAAAGTAATTTCTATGCAAGTGTTCACTACTGGAATATACTCAAGCTTCTCAAGATAATTCCTCTCTAAGTGCAGGCACACTGAGCAAGCAGAATTGTACAGAACATCTTCAACTGCAAATCTTTACAAATAGTCTATTTCTTACATCCTRTAGGCAATTACAATACATGACGTGTCTTCTAGGCGGTAAATGCTCAATTCTGTGAGCAAGAAATTCTTCAGCTTCTTCTACTAAAGAGTAGAAATCTGTATGTAATAAAAGGCTGTGCATTATCAGCTATGTAAAGATATATCAGGTTGTTTTGGTAAAGGCATTAAACTGCCTAAGGTATTTTAACATGTTTTGTTGATGCTTCTTATCATTCATTTTGGAGATATTTCTACTTATTTACTTATTTAATGGATATACACTTAATTTTGTTTATTTACTTATTTATTACTAGATTTGATACAGGGCTTTAATTATCTCTGAAGACATTTCCACAGCTTTCATTAAAAAATAGCAAAATATATAAAAAGCAAGACCCAAATTAAACTCYTTAGCAAAGGAGGGTCTATAGCACCTTCAGGTCTATAGCTTTTAACAGAACCCACTACCTTATTCCCAGGTAAATAGAGGAGGACAGAATCCTTAGGGAGGAAAACTTCCCAGAATTATGGGGATTGCCCTAATTTCTGACATGCAGTGGAGGGTCAAAGCCATAACAAAACAGATTTAATTTGTTTCAATATTCAGTGAACAACTTGTTTTTCTTATCACAAATTACTTTTTTTTAAAATTGAAGTTAATTTTCTTATGAAAGAAAAGAAATACCCTTACCTCTCCACTAAAAAGTCTGTGAAAGAAGCCTCTCTTTGGTTTAGGAGACTTCTCCCTGTCTGGTGACACAGTACCATCGGTTTCATATGCATTGATATCTTCAAAGCATCCCGTTTCAATCATCTTTGAAACATATGAAATATAAATGAAATATCCATAAAAGCCTCTCAAGTTCCAGATATTATCTATTTACTCTGGCTGGGTACTTCTAACACTTAAAAATTCATCCGTCAAACTACACCACTCACAGAGCTCCAAAAGGAGGCACAAAGTTGACATTGACTCTCCCTGTGCACTCAACAAATTGAAGAGCAATGAGAGCACTATCACACAGGTAGTGACAGGTGCTCCCTTGCTTTTTTGCATTCTTGCCTTTCTTCTGTCCATGATGCACTAAGAAGTTTTTAGAACCAAAATACCTTTCAGGTATTTTGCTCATTTCAGAGCAGTCCAGCCTAAAAAATGTAATCTCTCTATACCCTAGACTGAACTTCATCAATAAACATGACATGGAAGGAAAAAAAGATATAATGAAGATGGGTCTCTGGAGAGATGCAAGGGATTTTGAAATAATCTTTGTCTGTGTACACAGAAACAAAAGAAAAAAAGCCACAATTACTGGGTGGAGAAAGAACAGCAGGAAGAGTAAATGCCAAAATGTAACCAACAGGCAGGGTCAGAAGGRGGGAGTGGTTAATACCCACATCTAGCTGCCATTTACTGGTAAGGGCCACTGGTAAGGGCCTGTCACAACAGCAGGCAGCCAAATGCACACATCTTGTGGAGTGACAAAGGGCATAAAGAGGAATAAGAAGAAAGGCAGCCTGCTTTTGTTGCAAACCATGACATTGGGTAAATTATGGAATGCMAAGAGGAATTCTTGAGAGACAAAAATTTGAGGGACAGTTCAGTAATGTGAATTAAAAGAAAAAGTAAGCCCAAATGTACAATGACATCTGCAGTTGTTCCTTGAAGAAAAGGAACTGCCATTACCAGAATTCCACAACTACTTCCAACTTTATCACTCTATGTGGGATTAGTTATTATGCTGCAGTGCATTTTTTTAATTATTATATCATACTCTGAAATTCAGAATTACAACACAGCATAGGAAATATTTATTTCTCAAGGTTCACTGTTTCTCAGTGAAAACTTTGTATGTCAAATGACACCTTTTCAAATATTCTTCTTAATGTAATGTAAAAAAACAAAAGGAAAACAAAAGGGAATGTACTTTTTCCTCCAAATTGTTCAGAAATTGCTATTCTATTGTGTTCAAGCTTTAAGTAAAATGCAATCTGACTGGAAAGAAACTATACTAGTAGAATTCAAGACAATAGTCATTTCAGAAAGTCACGAACACCTTACAAAGGGAAGGCTTTCATAACAAGAACTACAATTTTAAGTAATTGTTACTGAGTGCTCTTGCTGAAACAGTTAAGAGTATTTGAATTGCATGTAGAGGCAGCAAAATTCTAGTACAGTATGCAGRATACTAGAATACTCATTCACTAGGCACATGAAAAAACTTTAAAGTCTGACTCAACTGATATTGAACTGTTTGTTTTGAAACCTTGAAAAAGGTGAGTCTGCAATTCTGTGTTACTGTCCCTTGGAGAATCTATTGATACACAGGCTATATACAAACAGCTTGCACTGCACCTATTWGCTTTTGAATACTTGGAACAGCACTGACTCCCTCTCCTGTGAACAGCAATAATGAATAACATGCGACAGAAGAAYGAGGAAAAGGTGGTCTTACTCATACTAATACTGTTCTGTAAGCTGTGCCTATGATGACAAGATGCCAGACTCTGTTTATGCAAATTTACTACAGATCTCAGATTTTAGCAAGTTGTTTTCAGAAAAATATTTTTTCTGAAGCCTCTCAGAAAAAATGACTAAAGCAGAAACTCCTTTACATCTTCTAGAAAATGTCAGTATAATTATATCTTTTATTAAATATTCTACACTGCTGTAGAAAATAATCATCTATGAAATGTACATTACCTCATTTTGCCAAGGGATTGAGACACAACCCGTGACAAATTTGGAATAGAAGTCATCATCTGTAGTATCCAGGTTCACTCCTTTTACTGTTGAGAACTGCTCAATGTCCAGGACATCTTTACAATAAACGGCACGTGGCTGCAGTACAATACAAGATTGCTTCATTAAAGTTTTGCATTTGGGGACTTTTTRTTTGGTTTGGGTATTTTTTCCCTAGATGAGCAAAAGTGAGCAAAATGTCTGCATTCTGCTGATCACCAAATTATGCTATTCTATAAAACAGAAATACAAAGACTCGTTTCATAAGGCACCTGTGCACTTCCATCCATCCTGCAAGTAACAGAAAAGAACTATCAAAACCAGAAACAGCTTGTCTAGATGTCTAAATGGTTGTCATAATTTRCTCATCTTCTGTCACCTTCCTTTCAACTTTGAAGTATTTTCTTTAAAGTTATTCCTCATTTATTGTGCATCTATGCAGCTATGGAAGTGGACTTTTAAGGGCTAAGAAATCAGCTACAAAGCTCTCTAGATAAATACCACTATTGTAAATTGTTTTGTGATCTCAGGTGAAATGCCATAAAACAATTAGTTATCATCAATAGCCACAATAGCATTCTCCTACCAACATAAATAACTTTAAAGGTCTCTCTCAAGTTCATACGAGTGCTGACATAGAATAATGACAGTTCTTGCCTTTTTAGATACTAATCAAATCTGTCTCACCTACTTACATCTGGCAAGAATGGAGGTTCTAACATGTTGGCTTCTAGCCTCTTGAAGTTGATGTTCTTGAAAATAGGATGTTGCTTCACAGCAGCAGCTCCTCCTTCAGTGCAGCCCAGTCGTTCCCCTGGATTTTTAGCAAGTAACTGCAAATATAGGGAGAAAAAAGCTGATTCATGGTATAATCCCACCATTTAAAAAAAAAACAAAAAAACTCTACATACAATGTCTTTCAATCAGTTAATTTTGCTACTTGGCCTCTTATTAGGTAAAATTCATCATGAATCAAAATTAATTGGAAACCAAACAACATTCAAGGAATAAATATATTTTCAATAGACAAAAGAATCCCTGAAAGCAGATAATTTGAAGATTATACCCAAACTTATACGAAAATATTTTAATTGATGCCATATTGAATAGACTTGACAGTACAGACTTTGCAGTAGGCTTTCCTGTCAGGAAATACAGACTTTTTTTTTCTCATGGGCTTAAGTAATGCACATTTTTTGCACAAAYCACAACAGAAAACTTGTGAAGCTGTCTGTAAAAATTTAAGAACAGGCAAGATAGAAAAAAAAAAAGGAGGCATTGTCTTGTAGCTACTGTTTTAGGTGAGGAAACTTGTGTATTACTCTGCCACCTGTTCCCATGCAGTATCCAAGTCGAGCATCCTATTGTAGTCCATCTATAACTAAAMGTGGTCCAAACAGTGCTGGACCATTTCATTCAGGTGATGAAAAACAATTTATRCAGCAGAACATCTTGAAAAAGTTCTGAATTCTTGAAGTTTGATAACTGAACAATTCATGAACAATCACATTCAYGTGAACCAAATAAAGGTTTAAGAAWTCCAGTTTTRAAAAATTTTCAAGATATTAAAATTATGTAGTTGGTCTCTTTWAAAGAATTAGAAATTTAATTTTCAAACCTCTACATCTCTTCACCCACCATCCTGCAGATGGATTTTGCCTCCTCTGAAAACTTGTCTGAGTASGTTTCCTGGTCTTCCTTTACTCTCCGGTCAATTTCATCCCGTTTAACCCTTTCCTTATGCTTCCTGAAGGGAGACTGTCCTTCAATCATTTCATAAATCAAACAGCCAAGACCCCACCAATCAGGACTGAATGTGTACTTYTCATTTTTGAGCACTTCTGGAGCTACAAAACAAAAACAAACACACACCATGACATTTCACTTTAAATCGACTAATTATATATGTATTGGAAAAACTCAAAGGTATTATTTTGGCCCTGTGCAGAGATGTTTTTGTGGCTCCACTGTACTTTGAAGAAACTTTCATTTCTACCATGAGGACTCTGGTTATATCCAAGAGAAAAATCTAATTTCTTTAATGCTTAAAACCAGTATTGTTTAGAAACTGAGAATGAAGTTTTCCAAAGCATTGAAAGAAACATATTGTCACAGTAATTTGACTGTTTACCTGTGACCCTAATTCTCTTTCAATCTCAGAAATAAACTAGGTGCTTCCTTGAAGCTCTACCTAAAGCTAGAATTTTCAGTTAAGTTTTCAAGTTTACCAGTAGGTTTGTAATTAACTACTAACACCTATGAATGCACACTATAACCTTCTTTCTTCCTTTAACATGTCTAGTAACTAAACCAAATCCAATACAGTTCTTATATTCACAGAAGCAAACTTTCTGGTAAAATGTAACTAGCAAAGGATGCTTTACATACCCATGTAACCAACAGTCCCAACACGTCCTCGGACAGTTTCACCTTCAGGAATCTGCACAGCTAATCCAAGATCTGAAATTCTGATATGTCCTGTTTATGTTAAAATAAATTATACATCATCAGCAAAAATAATAAAGTATTATAGCTTTTAAAACAAAAAAAATTCAATTGCACACCTCATAAAAAACCCCACTGCAAAGTATCAAAACATTCATATMCTCATAGCATTAAGTTTAGTTAACTTAACTAGAAGAGTTCTTTATTCAGCTCTTCCCTAAAAATGTGAAGAAAGAGTGGCACAGATATAACTGATTTTCAGAAAGTCATACAAAAATAATTTGTTCTTAAGCACTATAATTCCTAGGTCTGTCATAGGCTGCTGTTCTTCGACAAATAGAAATTAAAAATTCACATTCTGTAYCTAAGCATCAAACAGTTGTGTTTTTCCATTCTTTATACCCACCACGAGCACTTAGCTTTCTGACTTCCTAATGAAACTCCAAAATTTACTTTATTTATTCCAAATGTGAGAAAACTGTAGCCTGTACTGAGAGAACATGTTTTCCTRTAATGAAATATCCCAATAATGCCAAACCTGACTACTTGGAAATGCTATCCTCACTCCTACTCCAAACCAAGAGCAGCCCAGTCAATATCCTACTCAGAATTATTTATATTGTRACRTATCAGTTCAATTCTAGGATTTCCTCTTCATATGAATCACTTCTAAGTGGATAATAGCTTCAATTGCACTTTATCAGCCAAACTTCTCAAGCTGATGATCTTCCGCTATCATGCATGGTCTTTACATCAGTACCTCTAACACAGAAATCATCTGGCAGAAGACTGATTTGTCATGCACTGCTCAATGGGGAACCAGCCCAAGCAGRGCAATGGAAATAAATTCACCCCACTCTCCCTCACATTCCCATGGACTGATACAGTTTTTTGTTGGATTGACTCTGAACTGTTTCAAACACATTCAAGACATTTCAAGGCAAGAATTGTATTGACGTTATAATTTAAAAACACGTAAGATACTTTGTTAACAAAAATATAAAAGTATAGACAGAAGAAAGGAAAATTACATTTTCAATTCAATTTTAAAACAAAAAAAATTGTAGAAACATTCATTGTGGAAAAAGAAAAAAAGAGCAAACCCCACACTTATTTTTAATACTGGTTATAAGGACAGGGATACTGTTTCTTACAGAAACACCACTGATTCACAGAATGATTCAGGCYGGAAGGGACTTCAGAAAGTCTGTAGTACAACCTTCTGAGCAAGCAGCCAGCCCAAAGTGTCCAAGACTTTTTAAATACTTATTTAGAAAGCCTCCAAGAGTGGACACTGCATCASCTCTGTGGGTAGCCCATTCCAGTGCCCAAGTAACCTTTGTGCGTATATACTCTCACATTCAAAAAGCTCTACAGCATCAATATGAGTTAACAGCATACTAATTTCTTACACACACATGTTAGATAGTCAGGGGATGGAGAGAGAAAAGAGAGTGGAGAAAGTCAAGTACCACTCTACAAASTGGTCGGAAATAACTAAATGCTCTGGAGTGGCAAATGCTATTTTAAATACATTGAGATATTCTTGTATTCCCTGACATCTGATGAACCCCTTTTCAAGTGCAAGATCCGAGCTCCTGAAGCGATTTTCTAATTAGTCCCCTGCGCTCTCTGGAACTAGATCAAAATATCCCTGGCAGAGAGAAAGCATTCTAGTGCAGTCCTGCAAGGCTACATTTTTCCTCAAAGAAGCCTTCAGCTTTTCCAAGACATTGCTGGAGAGAAAAATTAAAGAATGCATTTGATGTCTAGSAAAGCTTCAGCGCTTGGAAAGTGCCTTCTCTGAAGCATCATCTTTTTTGAAATTTATCAGTCAGAACATGCTGATTTAAAAAAAAATACTGTGCTAATGACTTCAAAAACAGTTTTTYCTCAACTAAAATGATTTGTGCTACAAGAACAAACTTGTAAAATTCATCCACAGCTTAGAAGAGAATTCCTGCCCACGTTGTACAGTCAATTCAAAAGATTCTGGTAATGACTTGCATACAAARTCATTAAAGAAAATTAATCTGGCTTTTCACAAACAAAATACTACAAACATTTCTTCATATTGTTTGTACTTCCTTCATTCTTTCCAGCCACATATGCATCAGGGACCATCAAACCTCTTRTAGTTGAAATGTTACAACAGAAATACTTCAGATTTCTTCTTACTGCCTAAACATTCTGGTCTACTAAGTACAATTCTGGCCCTGCATCTAACAAATCATGTTTCCATAATTGAAGAAAGGATAAATGAAACAAATCCATATAAAACTTAAGCTATCTTAAATCAAGGGAATAGGCAGAASTAAGCACAAAAGGAAAAAAGTAGTCATTTTAAGGTAGAAAATTCACCCTCCAAACATCATGATTGACCCCCAAAGTTTTCCCCTGCTTTTTAAAAAGCAAGGGTAGTATTTTGTTTGTTAAATTATGATTCATCAATTAGGTCTCTTTTATCATGAAGAAATCCCTTACATTTTTGGCATGGTGTGAATTAGAGTGTAATTCCTGATTTCAAAATTAATTTTAATATTTACTTACCACAGTCATCAAGAAGTATATTCTCTGGCTTCAAGTCTCTACAAATTAAACAATAGAAATGTGAATTAAATAAAGGCAAAATTATTAGCCCTCAAGTTCAAATAGACACATCAGAAGACTGAATACATAAAATAAAAATTTTTGGGAAGAATGTCTCTAGAGTTGACATTCTAAATGAGAGACAATTGCTCACTAAGAAAGCTAAGTAGGTTTTTTTCCCCGCAAATATTGATAAAATTATACTCTATAGTACGTGTATTCATGTTAAAGTTCCATTATTTTGTAAGATTAACTATATTAAAATGTCAGAAAGATGCTCTGCTTCTCATGATTTTAAGTCTTGACAATCCCTATAATATTAAAAAATTGACATGAAATGTAAGATTACAGTTCAGAAAAAAACAGGAGATATTAGAATTAAAAAAAAAACCTAATAACACTAGGATTTGACACACTTGTTCACTTGTTTGAAGGTTTTCTTGTAGGCAAATGGCTAACAAATTGGGCCTAAACACAGGGCTGCAGTATAGGGTCTTCTGTTTTGTTTGGGTTTTTTTTGTTGCTRTTTTGTATTTTAAACAACCAGTTTCATTTTCACTTGGGCAATGTGAAATGACCTACTTGTAGCTGCTGAAATCTCTCACCCCTGCTTCCCTCCTACAGGTATGCCAAAACACACTGTGTTATATTGCAATATTGGCCAAATTCTCTAGGCAACCACATCCAACCATCAGCATAAGCCTGATTCAGTCTGGTCMTGCCACCTCCCGCTCTGTGTCTTTATGTGTATGTTGGTCTTCTAYTCTGGGGAGGGAAAAGACTAAGACTCATTATATTGAAGTTCTATTTCAAATATTCTTTGAAACCAGGGATACTTGGTGTTACACAGCAGAAGTATAAAGAAAGCATTCTTGGTCCACCACTAAATTTATTTTGCTTGTTCTGTAATATTAATGCATACCAGGGTTTAAATGATGTATGTAYGGAGACAAAACAGCATTAAAATCATACAATCTCTATTGCAATGCATAAAGCTTCTGATAGTTTCATTAATTCAAAAGCAATAATATGTTTATGGGAGGGACCTGAAATAAAACTAGAATAAAGTTTTTCATATGGACTATGACTATCCTGTTACCCTTGTGAGCATAACATGCAATGTAGYCAGGGACTTCTATTGCCCTCTCTGAACTACTTTGTAGTGGGCAGGATTTATTCAAATTTATTTATTTGAATTATAAATTAGTTTGTTTTGTAAATCATCATTTACCTTCATTTTACAAACRAAACTTGAATCAACTTTATACTGTTTTAAAATATACCAAGCAYCTAGGCCTAAACTAACAGTAAGAAGACATATGAGTAATTACAAAGGATATGCCATGAAAAGGACAACTAAACAWTTTTTTTTGTTTCTTTTACAATGAAATCAAAATATAAATTTGTTTTAGTAGAAAACAAAATATGTTCATTGTTGAACAGACATGGAAAAGTACGAGTAACTGTAGGTAACACTCACCTGTAAACAATTCTCTCCCTTTGCAAATCCTCCAGACCACAGCACAGCTCTGCAGCATAGAAAATAGCCCTTTCTTCATCAAAGCCAGGATTTCCCATATTATAKATGTGAAACTTCAGATCCCCTCCATTCATTATGGTTAATACTAAACACAGGGCATCTTTCGTCTCGTATGTATAGGATAAACTAACCTAAAAATAGGCAGGGCAAGAACACAACCATTATTCATTCACAAACCCCAAAACAATTCACAGATCTTTTTTCCAATACAATCATCTTATGAATCCTTTTTTCAAAACAGAGAGAACAAAACATGCAAGTAGAAAATCACACCTGCAGAGAACTGGAAGACACAAAGGTATTCAGACTAATTTGCCTGCATACACAAATAATATACACAATACAAAAGCATAGTGGCAGATCTGTTTAGATATCATAGAGCTCCAGTTCTATGGAGCTGAAAATGCAGTTATTGATGATGCTCCTCAGCCGCATGGTACCTGCATTACTCTTTGTCCAGACATTTAGGAGCTTATACCTAATTTGATTAGTGCCTCAGGAATTATGCACTGCCAAACCATCTTCCTGAACTTCTACAAGACTCAAAACTGCCCTAAATTAAAGAAACTCAAGATTTTAMATCAAATGTGTAGCTTCTATTCCTACCCCTGCTTCCTCCTCAGGTAACTGCGTATTTCCCTGATTTAGAACTTGCCAACAGTAAAGACTCAGTAMAACTCTTTACAGTCTTCTCACTGTACATGAGATATGGTGCTGACAGGCCCCACGAAGCACCACTTTTTTAAGGTTTTAGGTAAAAGTTTTAAAGTGCATTTAAAGTTTTAAAGTAGACTTGTAAATYTTAAAAACCCACTTTATTTAACACAATGTAATACACTAAAAATGCAACTAAGTTACAAATTCATTTTCAGTAGGAAAAGCTATGCTATGCAGATGATCAACTGGTAGGATCTTCAAAATTATCTACAGAGATTACGTAACTGATACTAAGAGCAATGGAATTCAAACATACTTAGTTTACATTAGATAAGTAAGCTAAATAAAAGAATCAGTAGAGTTTTTTTACTCAATAATTTTTTTTTAAATTCAGAACAAGTAAATAAAAGCCCTAATTCAGTAATAGGTACAGACTCTTTCTTCGGAAGCATAAATCCAATACTAAATAATAAACTAAACAAATATAGAAATCAGCTACTCAAGGCAAAGATTGCCATTTAGTGGTTTTAACTGACGTATCCAGCTATTTAAGACTATACTTGTGACAGAGGCATGACAAGTTATCTACCCACTTCAAAACCAGTATTACTGCAAATCTTAGACATAGATCTTGTCTGCTGCATGAAAAACCCACCACTGGATAGCAAGAGGGAAATAACTCATGCCCAATTTTATAAAATKATTTCAAATCCAAYGTGAATGAATTAYTGATCTACAGTATTTCTATATGCTRAGAAAAATGTTACTCAAAAATAGAAGTTTCACTTTTATAGTAATTTATGGATCAATTCAGGTACTCTCTGGGTTCAGTTTCAATCAATTCAAGCCCAGAAGCCTCATGCAAAAATAACATTAGCATATTTATACCAGACCATAATTTACAATTGTTTAAAATATTAATGTATCTGGCCAGCAGGTTCTTAATTTTTCTTTTAGCTAGCAATATTCTACAGGGTTCTTTTATTTTAATAGATAAAGTTTTTCAGAAAATACATACATACATATTTTATACATATATATTTATAAATAACTTTCCTCTAAGAYAGGAACTTTAAAATCCTCTATGAACAGCAATGTAAAATTTATAAGTAAATGGATTTTAAGCCAAAGAAAAATGCATTTAAAATTAACATTTAAATGACAATATTCCAATTTAAAAGYAAACMTTACCTGGGGTAAGTTTTATTTGGYATATCTTTGATCATTCYAACTTCTTTCACTGCTTAGTWATTAGGGCTACTAAAAGACCATAATTTACATAATAGCATCAGGTTTAAGTATTAAAACTCAGCTTTCCATTACGTGGGAGTTCCATTAAAAAGTTAATTGTTTCACATCCAAGACACCTCTTTAAGCCTTGGTACGCAGCAAAGCAACATAACCTGAAYGATACACAGTTAAAATCTCATGTTTATCCTGAAATATATCAGCAACAGACTAACAAATGCTAGGAAAATCACTTCAGATGATAAGGATTCAGGGGCTTCGGAATGCTGAAATACAGCCTAATGTTCTGGATGTGAGAAATAAAGCAGGTGGATCAAAAAAAAAGCCTCTGCACAGAATTATTCACAATCACACACAAAACATACTTATTGWATCAATCATTTCTCTCTAGAGTGATCCACTTTCTAAATCAATTTTGACAAGTCTTGTGCCTCCAAGTTCCTGGAAGAGACTGTAATGAAGTAAACAAAGTGAGATAAATTTTTGAGAATAAGATCAGAARGAGATACTTACTACAAACCTACTATTCACTTTTTCTAGAATTCTTTTTTCATTTAGAGCCATTGATTCTCCTTTCCTCTTCTTTATTCTCTTTTTTTCCAGCTTTTTGCAAGCGTACATTTTTCCTGTTGCCCGTACTTGACAGGCACAGACCTACAAAATGAAGCAAAGTGTGTCAGAGATGCTAGAGGTTTTTTCAGAATTTTTATTTTAAATAAGACAAAATTTTATTTTCTTTTCAAACTCTTTAATGCTCTCAGAAATGATGGTCTGTAAGCATCAATACAGAGCCTTCGCTCATGAAACAACCTTAAAAATTCACAAAAACTGTAASAGAAGTAGAAGAAGTGATTATACAGAGGCAAACACGTTTCTGTTGGGGGTTGCATAGTTTAGTAACACTGTGAATCTTGTGTTACAATTCAAGTGATACAAATTACTAAGGTAACAGTATATCTTGGGACAAATATTCGCAGAACAATCAACAGGAGAAACCTAATGGTAATTTAATAGCACTCCTCTTCAATATAGGGTAGGGCTCTGGTTAAAATATGTAGAAGGGATGAAATTTAAAGGAATTATGAACAGAATTAATAAAATCTGTAGATTTTAAGTTCATTCATATTCTACATAATTAGCAAATAGAAACTAAATTTCATTGCCAAATGAAATTTCAAAATAGAAGCAACTGTTGTCTGTTAGTTKAAGTTTTCTGCAGCTTTGTGCATGAGCTAGAATTCTTAAACTAATACATTGAAACACTTTCTATCAACAACAATTTGCCAGTTGATGTGTCAAATGCAGATTGATGGCGACAAGATTAAACAGTSTCTCTTCTGTATTAACCTTCTTTTTAAGAACTGCCTTGCAGAAAGATACTTCTGTACTCACCTCTCCAAATCCACCTTTGCCTAGTACTCGGTAATGCCTAAATGTGTGTTTGGTTACTGGCTGCCTGATTAACAGAAAGAAACAATTACTGGAACGGGAATAACAAATATCAGTAATCCCTCCCTATCCCGAGGTCTGTCTTCATTTTCTTCGTTCTATGACATACTTCTGAGCAAATGTTACATTAACCTCATGTAGATGTACTACAATAAGCTGAATTTTAAACTAAAGGTGTGCTCTGCTTAGAAACTTGGGCTCCCTCATGTGGTCACCAGGCATTCCCAACAGTAGCAAGAAAACCTGGTCAATTAGCCCCTTTGCTGCCCACAGTTAGACACTTCTGTGTTCTTATCACAGTCAATTTATCACCTCCCGTGGCCTCCCTTAACTGACATGCAGACTGCATCTCAATTGGATCATGCTTACAATGCAGCATTTAAACGTTTCTGATTTTACTTTGTTTTCTCAAAAACAAAGAGTTGTGRTATGCAAAAGCAGTTCAAAAGCCAAATTATTAAGGTATTGATGTAGTGGAAGAGATAACTGGAGGCAGTAGAGCTGTTGACCATTCTATGCTAAAAACTTCTAAATGTGTCAGAGGAGGGCTATTACAAAAGTAGTGGGGTTCCTGTGCTTTGCTTTAAATGTGCATTCACTGTTAATGGTAGCTTTGCTCTCAGGACAACACATGGAGGTTCATTTAGTACAGAATTTGAGTAACTTCCCCTTTTCTTACTGGCTTTTGCTACCAATTCAGTAAAACAAATACATCAGATAAGTACAGTTTACAACAAAACCAGTGCTCAAGCAGCTTTATGTTTGAATATGTGATCACAATACCCAAGGGAGCTGAATTGGAATCAATTTGTAATAATTTCAGCCTTCTGAAAGAGTCTGAACGCTCATTCATTTGAAAGTCTAAACTAGATTCTGATATATACATATGTAACTCTTGCTATCATGTAATTGCTAGATCTGTATCTRTACCACCCTAAAAACTCGTTAGTTATCCAGTCACTTAGTGGGTTATAATCCTAGATCAATTTACTTATTAACCACTAATTAGATCAAATTTGAAACTAAAGGATGACAGCATTCCCAAGAAAGATTCRTATTCCACTTCACACTTGATACCAAACATTACAGAATTTGCAYTTACCTAATACCACTTACAGACTTAAGATTTACCACTTAAAGTCTACAGATAGCTGCATTGAAGTATTGTCTCTCGCTGTCTCATCAACACCATCCTTTACATCTTGTCTTTCAGATCATAATTTCTTAGGCAGTCTCATTCAGCATTCAGCTCTACAGCTTTTCTAGCATAAAAATCAAAATTTGCCACAAAGGAAAGCTAAATTATAATGCAAACATTATAAATAAACTTACTTTTCCAGCCATTTCCACTGTAAAAATCGGGAAAAATACACACTTTCTTGGTAAGCTTCAAAAGGTCTTTTGCTCAGGTATTCATGGACAATTCTAGCAAGAAAATAAACAGAAAAATAAAATAGGTCTTATTCTGAAAAAGGCTGCTATCAGTCTAGCCACATATATGTAAATATATTGATGAAGCTGTAGGCATAAAAACACCATCAGTGTGCTCTATAATGGTTTTAACCTATATGTCTCACAACGTGAGTGCCTGTCATAGAAAACTGTTCTTGTCAAAATACTTGTGAAGGCCAAACTATTGTTACTTGTACTAACTAGACACTTTGGTCTCTGCATTTTTATTGTCTTCAAACACRCCTACATATCAGCCTCTCAGCATCTATTTTACACATTTACAACCCTGCAAATATGACCTCTGAAAGTACGTGGTCTCACACATTCTTTGGAGACTGGTAAATAAAATTTTATTCTAGGATTTGCAGTTGAAGTACTAAATGCCATATCCAAACCTTGAACACTAGGTACCTTATCACTCACTTAAATGAAAAACAYCAAGATGGAGGTGGGGAGGGAAAAAAATAATTCAAACTGTATTCAGGTATTTATTGGACAGAGGAAAGGGAATGACCTACATGAGACACTCCATTTTGAGACATGTTTTACTAGATGCTCTCACACAGCCCTTTCAATCTTATAATCTCAGGTTGTTACAAAGCATGCTTATTTTTGTTGCCAGGGAGATGACCCAAGCAGTGACAAAACCTGTAGTCATCCTTCAGACATGATCAAGCATGCCTTGAAGAACCAGAAATATTACAAACCTAAAGGCTTTAGAAAGACATGTAACACTCATAAACATGTACCAACCCTCCAAGAAAAGCCTTCCCTGCTACTACTGTGTGATATAACACTTCATGTCTAGAGAACAAAACCAAGTTGTAGTGTTTTAACTACCACAAGTGATCCTCTGATCAACCATCTTAATGCAGCATAAGTKTTGGCCTCAGTGAAATCTGTTCTCAACAACACTAAATGGCGTAACATTGTTCAGAAACCTTTCAAGCTCCAACCTATAACTTCCAAGCTATGAAGTTATAGGTTTCTGAGTACCTTCATCTTGGAAGAGAAGCCATTTTAAAAATAAAAATACAATAGAGAGAAATATTATTTAACTTACAGAATTCTTGGTAGCAGACAACAGTGTAATTTTAAACAAAAGTAGCAATAAAGAAAAAACTCTGCAAAAGTTAAACATCTAAATCACATCTGAAGGAAACCTAGTCCTTTAATAAATCTGTTCCAAATTTCTTATCTGTTCTCATTTCAGACACCAAACACAAGTATAATAACTTCACCTTTTATTTTTCTTACAAGCAAATGAATTTCTATTGTAATTCTCAAATTAAACACTAGTCATTTTTAACTTACTTAGTACAGTCCATAAATAGATCCTTAGAAGGGTTCTTTTCCAGTCTTGCTTTACATTCATTTACTGTTTCTTGAGGTATTTCTGGCAAGTGTGCTGCAGACTTAACATCATAAAAAAGAAAACAACACAATTAAAGCAATTTTGTAAATCAAAGTTAAAATTTTGTTTCCAAAGTGAAATTAAATCTTTTCACACAGAAAAAGGAATGGTTTGACTAARGAGAAAATCAAGGATGTCATATTAGAGAAAAAGTTTTATTTATTCCCTGTTACTGAACAATGATTGAAAGCTATTACAGTTATTTACTATTTCAGTACCTAGGGAAACAAACTTGGCAATAATTCATTTTTTTTCCATAAGTGTACCATCACAAAAGCGAGTTATCTATTTGGCTTGGCAGGATGTAAAGAAGGAGAAAGCTTCCAAGCCTGTATTCGTGCTTCCATTTCAAACCTGACCAAAGAAATTTGGTTTTTTTTTTAAAAAAAAAAATGCACATCACTTATGATAGTTTCAAAGAAATTCTCAGAAGATGKGGAAAATTTGGATTCTACCTGCTTTTAAGGCATCTTCAAGACATTATGTATAAGATGATGAAAGCAAGAGAAGCATAAGAAGCATCTATTCATAAAAAGCAAACATCTAATTTTTTTTTACCGACAAAAAAGCTTCCACTGGATACCAAAAAAGATCTCTGGATAAATGCAAAAAATCAGCTATTAATGATGTCTTGGGATGGTTTTATGATGCTATTCTATTCCTGATCATCTGCTTTATGCCCAGAAATGGGTTCTGTAGCTTTGTGGTGTCTGGGGGAGGGCAGGAGCCAGGAAAGCTCTGGCGCAGGCTTTGTTCGAGCTCTCATTCTCCYGTGTGCTCAGCTTGCTGTGCCAATCCCACACTGCATTGTTGCTTTTAGMCAGCTTGGGTTTTGTCAGCTTAGGCAAGAAGTTTTTCCCTGGACTGTAGCAGCAATTCTTCAGTGACTTCTGTTGTTTCTTCTTGGACTGCTCAGCTTGGCTTTTGGTCCAAGATCAGACCATCGGCAGGAGCTGATCCATGCAGACCAGCAGGGAAGCCGCAGGGACATCCCACCTTGGCCCAGTCCTTCACAGAAGCTGAACCAATGAAAGAARGGACTCTAAATCCCCCAGCTTCATCTGCTGCAAGGAGGAGACCAATCTCAGAGGTTCACCAGGTTCCCATCTCTTTTTCCCCCAAGGTTCTCTTCCCCCCAAGACAAAGGGCCGTCCKCCATTTTGTTCCTTCTCACCACGTGCTTGGTAGCTTTTCCCTTCCCCTGGAATTTTGAATTTGTTTGTTCGGGGCAGAGGGCGGGGTAAGGTTCTGAAGGTTCAGTGTCTAACAGTCATTCATTTTTTCCCATACCCTGCAGGCACCTTGTTTGTTATATAAACAGTTTTTTTCACTTTCATCCAGAAAATTCATTTTGTATCAGTGGGAAGAGAATGCTGAAAGCCTTTTTTTASAGGAAACATTCATTCCAGAGGGTTCTCTCCTACAATTGTCTCTAAACAGAGACAAATTATCACCATGGGAAACAGAAAGAACAGAAAGAAATAGAATGCCCCAGAAGAAAACAGCACTTCACTATGTGAAAACCTGCAGTCATTCTGAGACTTCACCAACCAAGGCCACACAGGAGTCTAAAAGACTTCAGACTTCTTCAGACTAAAAAAAWTTGAGTTAATGTCCTTTTATGTTTTCTTTAAGTGTTAAATAGAGAATGAACTGTAATTTTAGTAGTTACACAAGCAGAGATCAGTCAAGTTTTCTGCTCAAGTTGATTAAGCAGAATTTYATAAGGCAGCATACCTCAGAAAGACAAAAATGGGACTAATGAAGTTTGAAAGTCAATTTACTAAAAACAAAGCAATCACTTAGATCTCTCTATTTATCTGACACTTAAAAAACAATTGAGAAAATACTTTGCAATATATTTACCCCATTAGTGAAGTACGTCTCTAAAACTTTGAGGCCACAGTCTATACGCTTTTCATCTGAAGAWACCTCATATTCTGCCTATGGGAATGGAATTGAAAATTTTATTATGTTCACAGCCATTTGGCACTTAGGTTTTTTACATGATGATAGGTAAATTTTATCATGAATAACAATATACTCCTAATACAAAAGGAACAGAAGGTTATATAGTGAAACATGTATGAAGAACAGTCCTAAGGGGAAAAAAAAGGTGAAATTTAATCTTAGGAAAACATACAAAACCTAACAATTAGTCTAAATGCAATTACAGAAACTGCATCCTAGGGGTTAAATTAGATCAATTACAATGAAATAGTATTTACATAGTATTGTAGGACAGAATGATTCAGATGGAAAATAATTAAGAGTAYAATAATCAGCTTTTTCTTCACCATACTTTTTTCCCTTCATGTATTATTCTTTACTACAGTCTTGGTTAAAACCAGGAGGAAACTACTTTCTACAAGCTTATAAATGAGATATAAACCAAACCCTATTTCATTTTCCAAAAAAGTAAAACTGAGTAGATACAAATTTTTACATTTTTAACTTAATAACATCTCTGACATGTAGATACTGACATGTAGAAAAAGAGAATTGTGCAATACAGTGCATTTTGCAGATAAACAATTGGCAGCTGAACAGAGCTCCAGAAGAAAATAGTTATGGGAGAAAACCCACAACCAACAAATCATCACACAGACACTAYGACTGAAAACCTCAAGGACTGCTTACTATTAATAATTTTAAAGAATAATCTAGAAGCAGATATCAGAAGTTGMAAAATTTAAAGAAAACACAAAATTTGGGGAAAGATTAATTAGACAAGTGCAATCTCAAACAGCAACRTGTATTAAGTTCGTAAGCTAGGCCAAAGCTTATTTCACATTTCCGAATGTGAATGCATGCATCTAGGAACAAAGAATACATGGCAGACTTCCAGAATGGAGGACTGTATCAAACAAAGCAACAGTTGGGCATATTGGGATAGCAATCATTAGGAACCTCATTGGAAATGTTAAGTAATTGATCTAATCAGAAGTTATTTACCTTTATAAAGAAAATCAGAACACTAAAACATGACAGTTCAAGAATCACACACACATACTACTGGAAATAACAGAATCCCTGATTTCCAGTTCTGCAAGTAATCACCACTAATCCACTGACTCACTACTAAATCATCAACATCTTTTTCAGCTGAGACATTATGGTATCACYCACTTCAGCACAGTGCTCAAATCCATCAATCCAAATGCAAGCCATTATTTTTGCTAGTTCAATTCCACAACAAGAAGTCTAATGGTACGGAATTCTTCTGCAACTACTAATCAACCTGAGCAGGTCAGAAAGTTMATCAACCTAAAGTTCAGCAGTACACTTAGCACCTTTAACACTAATTTCAAATATACAAATAGTTAGGCACACTGTTTTAAGTGGATACTGTAATTTAAAAGGAAGTTTGAGAGACAGGCTTTCAGAATAATTCTATTACTGCTTGGGATAAGAGTGAAGTTTGAGCCATCACCCATTCTTTTTCATATGTGAGTAACCTTGTCCCCAGCTAGTCAAATGAGTCACTAGATTGGATAACTGCAATTCCTCACTTTCTGTTCTGCCACTTATATTCAATTATTTCACAACTCTTCTCTCTGTAAAGMCAAGCTGACTCCACAATTTTGGATCACACCTTCCCAAGAACTGGAGCTTACCAGTCTTAGTATTCAGTACAGGTAGACAACACAGTATTGTACAACCTTGATTTCGGACTCCTGAAATGATCACAATGCTGAAATCACATCGCTTCATGTACAAGAGTCAGAAAACTCTATTAACTRAGAGATGCGAGCTTTTTAAGGCTACAACATTTCAAATGTTAAACAAATTTTAGACTTCATCTTTTGGAAAATAAACTTTCTGACATGAAAAGTTAAAATGGGCAAACCCCAAGGTAAATACCCCACCACTTCAGGTTTTCCCTCCTGTATTGCCTTACAAAAAATACCAAGGGAAAAAAACTCTCAACCCCCACAAAACTTGAAAAAGCTTGCCGAAGTCTCCTGCTGAAGTCTAGTCCACAAAAGGGAATCAGACTAACGCAGGAACATTTACAAGAAATAGTAGGTATTTTACCTCACATCCTTGATCAACACAGTATGCTAGTTTCAGATTATTAGAGTCACCAATTAGTGATCTTGTTCCAATTATTTCCAGGCATATCCTTCACCATGATTTTTCAAATGGAAGTTAAACAGTAAATTTAAAAAAAAAAAAAAAGTAAATTTTGATAACCATACCAGGTTATCTCAGCCATGCCAGTCTTTGTTAATTCACCGAAGTGTTGCAATCCACACAACATTATAGACTGCATGTTTCAAAACAATTTAAAATTTTCAGTTAGTGTAAAACACTTACTTCTTAGAGACAGTTTTACCTGAAAAATTACATCTGTAGAGCAAAGACACACCTGCCTTACAGTCATGCCTAAGATTTTTTTTTTCTTTTTTGTGCTGCCAAAGATTCTGCTACTTCTTATCAAAGCTTTTAAGGACTAACATGTACAGAAGCTACATGGTAACTAGTACATTGTAATTAATGTACCATTAAGGGCACATCCACAGCTGTCAATGCACTCATTAAGGGCTGTGGTTTACATTCACTTTGGGATACCTGCTCCACTGTTCTGGATTTCCATTCAATCCTTTCTGTCTTCAACTGTCAAACTGGTCTCTGGAATCTGGTGCTAGAACAGCTCCTGGGAGTCACAAAAATGAAACATACCTAGGCAATAGCCCAGTTGCATGTAGATTCATTGACAAATAGAAAGCAATTCCACTTATTTGACACTCAAATTCATTTTAGCTAATCTAGCACCTCAGTTTATTCTCCCATGGGGGAAGGAAGATATGGTGAAATGGGGGCCACAGCAATAATCCCACATACTTCCTTACACCCTGCCTCTTTCAGAACCATCTTGCATTCCAATCCTGTATTTTGGGATGCATGCAAGCACCAGCAGTACCTTACTTCTGTCTTCTTTGGTCATTTGCTCTCTGAATGTAAGAACAAAAATGGCTGGAATGAGAATTGTTCTTTCAGCAGCAATCTCAATTTAAAACTGTGCTTTATTGCCGTTGGATTAACTGTGAGGGACAAAAAAATCAAAAGCTCTGAGCTATTATTCTCTCCTCTTAAGGGCTTTTCATGCCTGCCTAATCTTCTCATTACTTTCCCCCTCCCTAAGAGGGTTTTGGGCTGAGGATTTTTTACAAAATATAGCTGTGGGCACACTTCCTTCCTCCCCTCATTCTTCAGCATCAGATACTAGTATGTAAATATATCAAGACGAAGATATCCCTTCGTCTCTAAAAATCTGGTTTTTTTCCTTCCATAGATGGTTGCTAAATCTCCATCTCCATTGTATTGTTTTTAATTAGTGCATGCTGTCTAGCCTAGGGCTTCCATGCAAGTTGCAACATTTCTAAGTCTATGTTTATAACATTTTGAAGCCTGAGTACAGCAAGTAATATTCATTATACAGACATCCTTCCAGGCTCTAGAAGCCAAGCAGTATGTCTTTCTGAAATTACTTCTCTCTTTCCCATCATTCCCATTATTGCAGATCTGACTAYACCAAGATGGCAGAGATTTGATAGCAAATATTAAACATTTTTCTTTAAGCAACAGAGACAGTTTTTTGACATCCATCAGAAGTTACGGCTTTACAGCTGGCAAAGAGGAAATCACACTATGTTCTCATCTATGCAGCATTTGGAAACAGAGGTGTATAGAGAAAATTAATAAAATGTAGGCTAACCCCAGTAGGCAGCTAAACCCCATACAGGTATTGCTCATTTCCCTCCACTAATAACCAGCAGGCCAGAAGTGAGATATCTTGCAGCTTGAAATAAAGACAGTTTGATACAGCAAAGCTGCACGTACAAGCAAAGCAAAGTAAAGCAAAAAATTTATTCATTTCTTCCCATCGGTAAGGAGATGTTTGGCCATTCCCAGGAAATCAAGGCTTCATCATCATGTGTAACAGCTAGCTGGCAAATTTTAACTTCCCCCCTTCCTCTTTCTTTCCCCCAGCTTTTATTGCTGAGCACAGCACCAAATGGTGCTGTGATACCCTTTGGGGTCAGCAGTCCTGGCTGGGTCCATTCCCAACTTCTTGTGCGCCATCAGCCTCCTCACTCCTTGGGCAGCTTGAGAAACACGAAAGGCTTTGCAACTGTGTAATCACCATTCATCAAGAACTAAAACATTGTTGTTATCAGTATTGTTTTGGTCTAAAATCCAAAATATAGCACAGCATGAGTTACAATGAAGAAAATTAACTCAACTCCAGAAAACCAGCACAAAAATCAAATATTTACATACAAGAATGTATAAGCAACTGCCTACTGATAGCCATCATCCATTTCTCATTGCTTACCACTGCATCCAGAAATTCAATGCATCTTTTCAACTCTGGTCTGGAATCACAGAACTGTCTGAAGAGAAGTCTTCCTATTGGCTGTTTGTCACAAAGCTGATTATAGTCTCTTTCTGGGAAAAAAAAACCAATATGCAAATATCTTTATTTTTGTTTTTGTAATACAATGTAATACATTACTCCCATTTGAGGTCAGACAAACAGCACTAGAAGTGAAGATTTTACATTAACACATTTATCAAAGATACCATAAATACACAATGATCCCAAAGAAAAGTGAAACACACTTCATTCACATCTGTGTCTTATAGACTATCCCATTTACTAAAAACACATTGAATTATATATTTTGAGTTCCATTTAGGTTAGGGTGCAGAAAGCAATCATACAATGAAACAGCAATACCAAAACAAACAAGACTGTTTGGAAAGAGGGAATTACAAGATAATAAGAAAAAAGGTTAAAAAAGCTATTAGAAGACATTAAGGAAAAGGGTAAAATATATTACCATCAATTTATAATGTGATTCATTTTTCTAATTCAAGGTTTTGTGTATCTATTATTTAGGAACAGTTTTCTTTAACAAAGAAGGAGCTGTGATACAACTTTAATCTTCTCATAAACTCTCCATCATATTAGAATTTTAATAGCTTTTTATTTTTTGCTAATTAGCATTTAGAATCAAGACAGAATCTTTTCCATTATCAGCACCAAACTCTTACCCTTCTCATTTAAAAGAGTCAGACAGAGCATTCATTCYATGGAACACTCACCGATGGAGCACCGAATACCCTCACAGTGACTGACAGGGGGCAACTTCAGCATCTCTTTCCATTTTTTACTACGTCCACTCCGTTTGCCTGGAAGAAAAATATGAATAACATAAAACACAATACTATGTCACAATAAAATGAAACATAACATTACCAGCATAAAATTAGGTCAGTTCTACACATGTRTCAGACTACTTTTCATGCCTAGAAAGAAATCCATCGACAAGGATATCCAAACCAGTAACAAATGAGATATAAAAGGACTTCTATGTAATTWTCATGTTTCATGTAAAGCCTTTTCCAAGACAAATATTTCACATTTTGGCTGTGTATGTAGAATATCTCTGCAGAGAAAAGGCAATTATCTAGGTATTTTGAAAAATCACAAGACTGGAACATCAAAGACTGAACCAAAATAATTTTAATAATTATCTCTCAACCGTGGTAAGGAACAGAAGAAAATAAAGCTGAGTAACAAAATACCAAGAACAAAGTTCTCAMACACATTTTTGGATAATAAAGTTGTATATAAATATTCTCTCTTTAAGGGCAGTAAAGGTAGTAAGAGTAGACCCCACTAATAAATGAGAGGGTATAGATCAAATACTCACCATTTATCTAGACCATACAAAGACAWGAAGAACTTACCTGCTGCAGAATTTAGATATTTTCAATGTTTCAGGTTTCACAGCAATAATATTGAATTTGTATGGGTTTTTAAAAACTACCACAGTATTTTTCTCAGTTTCTCAACAAATATATCTGCTACATTTTCTATGTTATATTGGACTTTCAGAACATTACCCTGGCCAATTTCATTTACAGAAGACATGCATACTTATCAACAAAGCAGAGATAGAGACAGGAACATACACATACTTTCAGATGCAAAATATTTCCGTGGAAGAATAATTTTGTGCTGCAAARTATTTTAAAAGAAGATTTTACTAAGTGATGTGATCAGATGCATCTCCACATGACAGAGCATTAGCAAATCTGCAGAAAAGCTTTCTAACCACACCAAGGCAGCATGTACTTTTAACCACAACGGGAGAAAAAGGAAGGGAGTTACCCAATGTAGCCTGAATAGAAACTGAGCAGCAAACGGTACCAAACCCTTTCTGAATTAAATCGTTAGRGTAAAAGGAACTAACATCTTCAGAAATACAAAATATCTATTATCTAAGCAAATATCTAAGCCTCTCTTTACTCATACAGCTTCTTGAAACATTCTACCACAGTGGTAGAGCAGTTCCTATTTAATGTACCTTGGATTATATCAAATTTACACCATCTTTGCAAACAGGAATATTGGCATCTTACTGTACCAGAACAAATAATRAAACTGCAAATACCAGCATCATTAAAACACACTGATATTTTAACAAAATATTTTTGATCTTAAAAAGAAGTTGAATATATGCTTGAAGAAAACTACATCACACAAAACATAGAGCCTCTCTAAGAAAACTGAACACAAAGGAAAACAAGGAATATTAACATGGATAGCCTAGACACAGACATTGAATAACAATGCCTGGGTATAGATTACGTGATCATGAAAAACAGTGAACAGAAGTGTCAGTTTTAGCCATGTAACTGAAAAATACACTAAGCTGCAAGGTCCACAGAAGTTAAATTTCTTGTGATAGAAACTGCCCAGAAGAACTCAATTGTGCATGACCAGTACTGATCAAAAATTATAAACTGACCCCAAACTCATATCACAATCCTGTTTGGAAAATGTAAAATGAACTGTGATGTATATCAAGAACACYATCTTCTGAAGCACTGTCAAAGAAAAAACTCAACTCATCCCAACCCCCCCAAAAAAGGAGAAGATCACAGGTGCCTTATACTTAAAGTCCCATACAAAAAGTGCTGTATTTTGCCTAAATATTTGGACAGTTACTTACGATGTGACCCAAGAGATCACATGCTAGAATGCAACTGAATTCACCATCCTACAGCAGTCAACAATGGCTATATATAATTTATAAACGCTACACAAGAATCAAGTGCTTAGCAGTATCAAGTAAATCAATGTGCTCTCACTTTTCTCTGAACTGAATGTTCTTGTATTTACAGCAAATGCACTGAAAAAGTCTTTAGGTCCCTGTAATGTAAAGAGCCATTTCTGGTAAAAGTTACGGCAGAAGGCCAATTTGTTTGTCACATTATTCCCTAATTGCAAAATCCTTTTCCATTTCKGAGGCAGTTTAAAAGAAGTATCAAATCAAATTGTAACAGTTGTGGTTTGAAAGTGTCTTAATATTGATTTCAGAGCTTCTGTTCTGGATCTCATTCTAAAACACTTCAGATAAAATCCTTCCAGAAAGACCAACAGCTCACTTTACAACAGAAGAGCCAAAAAGCCATTAGGTTAAGGTGCTTTCTGGTTGGCCTCCGTGGCTCAGACAAATTACTGCTTTTGTTCCTTTCAGATGTAATCACAGTTAAGAACAATGCCCAATTTGAAGCAACTCATCTTGTATAAAGGGTGGATGTACCAATACACCACTACAGTGAGGAGAAAATTCAATTACATTTTCAGGTACACAAGAACCTTACCTTTTCTTCCTCTCCAAATTACTTCTTAGAGCTTCAATTTCAACATTTAACTATTTTCCCATTTTTGCTTCTTAAAAAGATACATACTAAATTCAGTTAGATCACTGCACTAGAACATGGCAGGGGCAAAATGTCTGACAAATGAAAATTGACATTTGATTTCAACTTTTTTTTTTTAAACTTCAGAGAAATATTTGAAAAATGTGTGTAAGGCAATGTAGTTGGCTTTTCTATCAGTAAAACCACAACTAGTTGCAAAAAAAAAAGAAAATGCTGTGGCTACAACCTATGTCAAGGAATAAGAATACTTTTCAAGTCCTTATGTGAACTTSTCACAGCCGCAGAGATCTTCCTTGCAGACCTGATCTGCAGACTGACTCTCATTTCAGTGAGCACAGTGCTCCTTGAAACAAGAAATTTGGATTCTATCATACAGAATCCTACTTTATTGGCTACTACACTGACATGAGATTCTGGAATTTTTGGGGAACCTCTGTGCTTCAGCTCTCCTGCCTGCGCAGGGCAAGGACCATGYATCTGAAGCTGAGAAGCACTGAGAGGCTGAGAAGCATGTAGCCCTAAAGCACTGGGGCGCACGATTGCTACAACTTCATTCTTGCAAAACTGTTTCCACAAACCAGATTGTCCGATACCAGCTGAGAATTTCATACTAGACCACACCCAGATAAGCTCTGAAAGCCTAAGACTGCAACAAGATGACAACCTACAGCACGCCTTTAGCTGTATAAATCAAATCAATTGGTTCAATTATAAAAAAAATACAAAACAGTTGACGCAGGAGCTCTACGTCATCTACACTGAGATGTATGAAAATAAGCCGAGTACATAGACTGCCTTAAAATATACATTTCTCACAGCAGAGGCAGTCACAGGCAGGTTTCCTAAAAGATTTCAAACTCATATGAATTCAAATYTTCTCCTACTTCCAGAGACAGATTTTCCTTTAAATCACTCACARTAAGGATTAAAACCTTTCACTTTCAAAAGTCAAAACATTCCTATTTAACTATGGTCTTATGCTATACAAACATTTATAAACACTGCCCATTAAGTAACAAATTTATGCTCTTACTGGGCAAGACTCACCCTCAAGACACAAAAAAGTGTTGAAATAATAYCTCAGCTCCTCAGATCAGACCCTAACAATGGAGCAGCACCAATTTCAAGCTAGAAGACAAGCTCACACAAACCATCACTTGACAAAGGCTATCATGTTTCTAGTTCTAGAGATAGCTCATAAGGTACTGCTTTGGGGGGAGTCATCACAACCTTCTCCATTCTGCAGGTCAGATACATTTCTTGCTCCTTCAAAAGCAAGCCTGGCCACAGCTTAACAGTTGCATTAAACAGAGTGGCAATGGTTTTCTATGGAGAAAGATTCCCCTCYCCCCCCCCCCCCCCCCCCCCCCCCCCCCCAGCATACAATAAATAATACCTGGTTCTGAGTAAGCTTACAAGAATCACCTGGCTGAAAATTCAGGTTTTAACACAAGGTTAGCACCTAACTCTCCAGCACTACAAAGCCCAAGGTACTTCTGAATGCAAACAGAAGCAAAAGTGCAAGTAGTACAATAAAAAACAAAAGATATCTGTAGATTACAGATTGTTATGCCGCATGTACGATAATAGTCCTCACGCTCCTGAATTCAAGTACATGGAGTTGGACTTTAACAAGGTAATACTCCAGTGCTGTTGCTCTGACTGTCAAGGCAGTAACACTCCAAGCAGTTAAAAGGCCAGCTCTCTACGTGAACATTTGTGCCGTTTGTTTATGTGCACAATCATTTATTGTTCCCACAGCTATAACCACTCGAACAACTGGTTCTTCACATGGGCTCTATCCAGCCCCAGTGATCATGTGCACATGTAGGAATGCCAGTACACACACGCGGCACAACCTCTGCACTTCACAGCAATGAGGTGTGGAATGGAAAGCTTGTATCACCTCAAGTAAATGTAACTGATCTGAATCAGACTTTTAAAATTTATTCTTGCAAACCATGTAACATATCTGTATATATTTTGAGATGTCTGTATACATAAAAGATCAGGGTTTACTAGCAGAAAAAACACCAACACTGCAACTCAACAAACAAGGATTTTTTTCACATGATAGTACACCATGAGTGCAACAGATATTAAAGAAATAAAACTCCTTCAAGATGATTGTGAAACCTCTATTGTAATTGCCACATTTGAAATAAGCAAAGCAGCAGCGTGTATCAATAAGTAGATCTCTCATGTTGTGTTTATTTAGTAAATGTAATTACTTAAGATTCCAACTTGCCTACATGCATTCTTCTTACAGTTCATTAAATAAAGGACAAAAAGGCAGACATTGTGCATAATTCTGTACAAACACAGGAAGACATGTTTCCTGCCACAACGAGTTTACAGCAATTTAAAGCACAATGAAATAAGAGTGCAACAGAACATAGGAGGCAAACGAGGGAAGAACTGACAACAATTGAAAGCAACTACAAAGACTCTCAGAA